GGGTGTTTCTTTTTTTTTTTAAAAAAAAACGTCACACAAGTTTCATTGAGCTATGAAAATATTACATCCGCAAAAAAAGAGAAAACTGAGCAAAGGGTAAGGAGGAGGAGAGTTTCTCTCTCTACAACATTTGGCCACGTGAAAAACTGATTAGTGCATGACTTTTGTCGTTGTAATTGGTCGTAGTCCATTTTTTACACCAATTCGTAGCCAGATGGTTAGTAAAAATACTTATACACCTAATCTTATGAGGCAGTTTTTTACTTGAAAATACTTCTCAAGAAATACTTTTAAGTAATTTCATGCGTGCCAAACGTATTAAATTAAGATAGTTTCTCTCTATAAAATTTTCAATTGGTTTTCCTATCTAAATTTTGATATAGTCCGTCTCCAGATTTTAAGATATTTCTCTCTATAAAATTAAAAATTTGAGAAAATTTCTCTCTCTCTCTCTTATTTTTTGAGACAATTTCTTTTTCTTAAAATTTTCAATTTATTTTCTTCCTTAAAATTATAGTATATCTCTATAAAATTTTAAGATATTTTCTCTCTAGAATTTAAACTTGGAGATAGCTTCTCTATCTTAAATTTTTAAGATAGTTTATCTCTCTAAAATTTTTTAATTAGTTTCCCCCCTTAAAATTTGATATAGTTTTTCTCTCTAAAATATTAATATACTTTCTCTCTGAAAAGGTTAAAATTTGAGATAGTTTCTCTCTCTAAACGTTTTTAACTACTTTCTCTTTTTAAATTTTGATATAGTTTGTCTCTCTAAATTTTAAAATACTTTCTCTATCTAGAACTTATACAGTGCGGTTCCTATAAGGTTCCAACCTGAAACAATCTGATTAAGGCGCACCTCCAAATTTTATCATAACATACAATTTTGTTGTAAAAAAATTCTTAAGATTATCTTAATCTTTATTTTCATATTTAATTAGTTTTAAACTTCAAAAATAGTAAAATCAAGTCGATTTATAAATATATGAAAATCTAGAAAATGGATGGTCTAGATAATGTGCTGCAAAATGCACTCTTTCTAGAACTCAAAAACCTTTTCTTTTTCTTATTCATAAATCTCAACATCGAGATGATCAATTAGAGAGTTTTTCAACATTAAAATAACCTTTTTGACAGATTTTTTAGGTGCATCTGTAGTTTTACATTTTAAGGTGCACCTTATATAAACTTTTTTCAAACTTAAATTTGAGATAGTTTTGAGAAAGTTTCTCTCTCTATAAAATTTCAGGTACTTTTTCTCAAAAACTTAATATTCGAGATTGCTTTTCTCTCTAAAATTTTAAGATACTTTCTCTTGTTAATAGTTAAAATTTTAAGAAATACTTTTCTTCACAAAAATTTCGATCCAAATGCCAGAAATGTACCATCTCCGTATAAAACTGTTTCTGGAAATACTTTCCCTGGGATCCAAACGACCCCAAAAATTAAAACCTATTTGAAACGTTTTTCCTGCAACTCCCCTTCTTTCAAACGATACAAAACCATTTTGGTGTCTAAATGGGATTTTTTGAGATATGTTCTTAGTAATGGTGGGAAAAAATAATAGAAATAAATGAAATAAAAAATAATGGATTGAAAAATGAGAAGTTTGAGCCTTCTAAATTGAAGCTTGGTTCCTCTTTTTCAAAAGTTGGAATGGAAACCTCTATAAAAAATAATAATAATACCAATAATAAAAAAAAAAAAGGAAGAGAGAGCCATACGAAAGCTAAATTTTTTAAGTAAATAGCAAGTGAGATTGAAAAATAAGTATATTCTCTCTCTCCCTATAGTCCCTTGGTGTTGTTATTTGAATTTATTTCTCAAATATTATATGAATCAATTTCCCATCATGCTGACGTTCTTCTTTCTCTTCATGTTTCTCTAAATATTTTGATATCCCTTACATTCCATGCTACATCCAAGCTTAGTGCCCAGTCATGAACATAAAAATCAGACATGAAAACTAATTTTTAGGTCCTTTTTCTCAAATTTGTGAGTCTTTTTTATCGGATCTTTTACATTGAAATGACATGAAGCGTGGAGACTGTCTCATATGCAGTGAATGGAAATCATGAAGGAGTATATGGCTGAAAACATTGAGCAATTGCTAGAAAAGTTTAATCCCAAGGAAACTATGGGGCCTTTGAATCTGGAAAATGGAGATGCTCTAGAGACTCTAGACAATGGTGAAAACCGTAGTTTCGATTCAGGTGAAAGGGAGATTGTTCTCGAAAGTAATGTGCACTTGAGTTGCCTTGAAGTTACAGACCCTGATGCAGATGATGAGGTTACAAGAGAGAAGGACGCTTATATGGCCAGCATTTTGGCGAGGTATCAGAAGCTTCTCATCGAGAGGGCCAAACACTTGTTGGGTATGAGTTTCTCATTTCTGTCTTCTATTATTCAAATATGGTATAAATAGAAAATACAAATTTTGGGTTTAGAAATTTGTGGTTGCAACTTTGAACTATTGGAATGTCCATGCTTTGAATTAGGATCTCATGCATGGCTTTCTCTCGATAATGATTTGACCACTGGAAAGCAACAAAGCAACAAAACACTAAAAGAAGCATGACTACTTATTTCATTTAACAATTTCTTTCTGAAATATACATGTCCCTTTCTCTCTCTTTCTCCTCTCATTTATTCCCTCTCCCCAAAATCTAATTACTCTCCTTCTTACATGTAGGTTATATATATATATATATATATAAACTGGGATTAGCCCATTAGCTCATATGAACATATGAGTCTAACGGTTCAGATTGAATCTGAGCCGATCTGACGATTACTGATGTCCGGTAGTGTTTGAATTTTAATTTTTTTCTACAAATTTAAATCACTTGAAATTTTGGGAGTGTGTTTATAAAAAATAGTTGAATCTTTGAAAAATATCAAAACAATATATGAAAAATTGTCTCATGCGGGCTGGACCACATAACTACATATGTAGTAAAAAAAGTGTAAAGCATAGGTGCAAGTAGGTGGTCTATCTAAAAATGATAGAAACTAACTGTCCAAATGTTTTCTTACTAGAATTATTATTTCTAGTTTTGAAAATTTACTTATTTTTTCATATTCATGTTCTCCGTGTTAGAGATTACACGTCCTTAAAAATTAAGTCCAAAAATCCATCTAAAAATTACATTTATTAATAGGCCCACATTTCTACATATGTAGGCTAG